GGGGCAGTACTGAAACACCGTCTAAGCTGTTCGCCAATCACAACGCACTGGGACAACTAACCAATCACATCACATTTAGTTTTTCGGAAGGCGGGCCGTCATCAAACCCGGAACTAATCGAGCCGTTTGTGCTAGGTTGGGGAGAAAGGTATTGTAATAATGTAAATTATGTAAAAAATAATGCGTTTTTCGAACCACCAAGCATGAGAGCATGTTCTAGTACACCCCCAAAACAAAATCAAGACTCCCACCCATCTCCACCCCTAAACCTACCAATCTCCACCCCCTAGATGTGGATCCAACCATGACCCCTGCATCTTGTGTTCTGCAGTGAGGGGCTACTGGAATGTTTGGGCATTTTATTCAGGTTTAAGCATTTTACTGCCCAGTTCTCCTTTGACCAGACAAAACCAGCAGTTCAATTTCAGGCTGCAGCAAAGTCACATTGTGCAGAGGACTCATCCCCAGTGCCGGCAGTAGTTTATCAGTAATCCTAAAAAAGAACACTGCCAAACACACATGCTAAAAAACAACAACTTCCTTACACATAGTAAGAAATGGTTATAAAAACTGAAAGAGAAGACAAAATACTAAATTAATTCAGCTGGACACACTTTCCTTATTTTTTTCCACAACAAATGGCCAAGCAAGCGCAGACATGACAAGATACGCATATCTTCTATATATAGACATATTTTTTGCATTTTTTGACCAACAAGTATTGAAATGTATAATTTTTTTTTAAATTATAACATATAAATCACATTTGACAATTGCCTTTGACAATTGAGGGTAAAGGTAATGGATTGGCCAAGCATGTCTCCAGACCTAAACCCTATTGAGCATCTCAAGGTCTCTAACATCCACCAGCTCTGTGATGTCGTCATGGAGGAGTGGAAGAGGACTCCAGTGGCAACCTGTGAAGCTCTGGTGAACTCCATGCCCAAGAGGGTTAAGGCAGTGCTGGAAAATAATGGTGGCCACACAAAATATTGACACTTTGGGCCCAATTTGGACATTTTCACTTAGGGGTGTACTCACTTTTGTGGCCAGCGGTTTAGACATTAATGGCTGTGTGTTGAGTTATTTTGAGGGGACAGCAAATTTACACTGTTATACAAGCTGTACACTCACTACTTTACATTGTAGCAAGGGGTCATTTCTTCAGTGTTGTCACATGAAAAGATATAATAAAATATTTACAAAAATGTGAGGGGTGTACTCACTTCTGTGAGATACTGTGTATATATATATATATATAATTACTATTTTTACTATTAATTATTACTGTTACTACTATTTATTATTACTCTGTTGTTCTCTGAACTTTTAAATTGGTCCCTGGAACCCAGATTGACAAATGGAGGACGAGCACAGGATTAAAGTGTTGTTAGTAAATACCATGTGCAACCACATAATTGCATGACAGTTATGTGTCTTCAGAATCCCAGTATTAAGTGGAACAGGCCCTTGCTTGTTCCCAAATTTATATTCATGGTGTGCTGATTCAAAACATAGAAAACTAGGCAGTGGATTCAAACATCAGAATTTTTTTTTTTTCAGTTGGGGATTGCCATAGGCTTCCTAGTTCCACCAATACTGGTTCCAAATGTGGACAATCTGGACGAGTTGGCGGCTCACATCAGAGTCATGTTCTACATCACGGCGGGAGTGGCCACCTTCCTGTTTGTATTGGTTGTCATTGGTAAGAGCAAACGTCAGTTATACTATGTCATTCCAAAGTTCATATGAAAAGATGCAACATAATTAAGATGCCTTATATGTGATATCTTCCTTTATCCAAATTATTGCACGTCTTTCACATAGATAACAGTTTATCTTGCTATCTTGGCAGCATGCTTAAATCAAATCGATTGTGAGTCTTTTTTTGTGGCATGAGGAGTTGCTGCCTATGTAGAGAGTTTCTGTCATTTAAGAGGTTCAATGAAGATTAGGATGCTGTCTTAGAAGGCAGCTGTCCATGTAGGCAGCATGAAGCGAGATCACTATTACTTTAGTGTGTTAATATCTTCTAGTGCCTGTCTGTTCTTCTTTTTGTTGAGTCTTACCCTGTTCTTCTTCCTGCATGTACACAGACAAATTTTGTACATATATTTTATACACATAATAGCATATAAATGATTGTTGGCACACAATGCCCGTTATTTTGTTAGTCTGCTTTTACGAGTGCAAATGGAGTATGTCAGTGCTGATGATTATCTGACCTTTAGCCCAAATGACAGAAGGGGAAATGAGATTTCTTTCAGTTTCAACCCATTTTGCTCTCTCTTTTTACTCTATATGCTTTTTTGTTTAAATGCTGAGCCGCCCATTTTTATCTTGACAAAGCCACAAAAAAATCCTGTCACATTCTGAGCTGCACTCACGTGAATTCAGTTCTGTTCTCACAAGCAAAAACGATGTCTAGACAATTAAAGAAGAAAATCACAAGATGTTTTAAAGAGTTAAAGGGACAGTTTGCCCAAAAATGTATGCACTTTCTTTTTTTACCTGCTTTTTTTTTTTTTACCTGCTCTCTTATGTAAGTCTAGTAAAGAACAAGAACAGAAGATTCTAGTGTTTCTGTCTAATAGCTCTGCAATTGAAATTCTGCTGCAGAGTTTTTCATATCTAGTGTATGTTTGATAGAGCAATTATAATAGAGTTCAGTCACCTGCTGTTTTGGGGACAGCAGGCTAAATTTTTACTCAAACACAAACATTCACAGATGTCAAAACATTGGATTTAAGAAGATTTCCACCCAAATGTACCACTTGTATTTAACACACAGGCATAATTGACTTTTTATTTTATAATATGACTATATATATATATTTTTTTTTTATTATTATTTTATATTATTTCAAATGCTTTGATTCATTATTTTTTTTCACACTGCATTCTAGGACTGGCTTAATGAAATATACATGTGATGTTTCATTTTAATTTTAGCTTATCATTTAATCATTTTGTTATTTGCATTTTGTGTAATATTCTTATCCATATCTTTTTATTCGTTTTTAATATATATATTTCTGTTTAGCTTTAATTTAATTTTATAAAATTTTTAGTCATTTTAGTACTTCAACTTCAACTTATTTCAGTCTCCCAATATATTGTAGCTATGTGGGTGCTCAGCTTTATTTGTCTTTCAGTAAATTTTGTTAAAATCTAATATTATAAAAGATAAAATGCTAAGCAAAGGCTATTTAAAACAGCACCGGCTATGACAAGACTAAGACACTCTTCTCTGCTCCCTAAATACACAAAGCATTAGACTTTATAGACTGTGTTACTTGTGTAAAGAAGATGCTCTACTAATTCAAACAACCAGTTCTTTATTTACCCTTGCATCGCAAAATAGCAGAGAACTGAAAACAGGGTGTGGTAATTCATTCTATGAGTTTTTGATGACAGTTTGAGGATCCAGTGGTGTTCTGAGGTTCAGTCACATGCTCTTTTTAATACTTTTCATTAGTTCAATATTTGGAAAACCCACATCCAGACTTAAAGAATGATAGCATTGATTTATGAAAAAATTAAATAAAAATGTCAAAATATGGATATATGAGGCTTCTGCCCGACAGTTGACGATATGTAAATGAAGAGTTCTCTGTGATGTATGTGACTGGTGACCGGGTGAGTTTGTGTTTTTATGTTCTTGTCAGTGTTTCAGGAGCGTCCGGAGATCCCTCCCACCCACGCTCAGGCCGCGGCTCGGCAGATCTCTCCAGAGAACTACTCATATACAGCATCCATCCTCAGGCTGCTTCGCAACAAAGCCTTCATCCTTCTCGTCATCACTTACGGTAAATGTCTTACTCTGCGCACACAACAGATCCATTCAGGACCTCAAACTGGGGTTCATTATGCTTGCTTGCCATTTAAACACACAGTGGTAGTTTGTTACTGAAACATTAGCATGAATAGTTCTATAGTCTTTTTTAAACTTCAGAACATAACTTATCCTGCTACAGACATAAATGATTCCTCAGATCACACATGTGCTGTTACAGTCATAGTCGCATTGTGCCTATAAAAACGGTCACGCTCACACACTCACATATAAACACACAAAACACAATGAAGGGACTTGATCCATATATTATAGAATAAAATATTCGCACCAGTATCTTACACCTGCTAGTCTCAAACCAGGAAGCCAAACTGTGTAGCAGCTTCAGCCACGTTATTTTCCCTTTCTTTCTAAAATAAAATGTTATTTATATTATATTTTAATAAATTGCTGTGGATTTTATGTTATACATTTAAATTCAAATATATATTTTAGTTATTTATAAATACACTACCGTTCAAAAACCTGGGGGTCAGTAAGGGGTCATTAAATTTTTTTTTTTAAATAAATTAATACTTTTATTCATCAAGGATGCATTAAATTAATCAAAAGCAACAGTAAAGACATTTAATGTTACAAAAGATTTCTATTTCAAATAAATTCTGTTCTTGTGAACTTTCTATTCATCAAACAATCCTGAAAAAGCAGCACAGCTGTTTTCAACATTATTAATAAGACTTTTGTTTTGAGCAGCAAATCAGCATATTATAATTATTTCTGAAGGATCATGTGACACTGAATACTGGAATAATGATGCTGAAAATTCAGCTTTGCATCACTGCAATAAATTACATTTTAAAATATATTTAAATAGAAAACAGATATTTTATTATTTTACAATACTGCTGTTTTTACTGTATTTTTGATCAAATAAATGCAGCCTATGAGATCATAAGAGACTTATTTAAAAAACATTAAGATTTAAATGTTAGTTTATGTATTAGATATGACTAGCTTGTGATGGCATGAAGATTAATTTAATGTAATTTCATTTGCAAGATTGTGCAAGTAAATGGAAAATAACTTTTTCATCTGAAAAAATATAAAACAAGTACTAAACAGAAATAGTCATAACTTGACTGGCATGAACTACATTAACAGTAAGAGTTTATGATCTATCCACACACACACACACCTGTGCAACACTTGCATGAGAAGCTTGTAGCTGCATTTAACCTGGCTGAACATTGACAGAAATAATCCTGCAGGAATGCAGAGCTCTTTATATCTTTACAGCTGCTTCAGAAATGTGAAGACATTTACAGCTTACTAGATACACACCATATCAGCTGTCTACCAGGCTACTTTTTTAAATTTCAAGGTTATGCTTTCAGCCTGTTTCTGGTTTTGACTTCATCCGTCTTTCTTCTTCAGGGCTGAATGTTGGCTGTTTCTACGCTGTCAGTACGCTTCTCAACCGAATGATCATTGAACACTATCCTGTAAGTCCCTCCCACCCACCTCCTATCCAGCCAATCACGAAAGCCCCTGACCTACATGCAGCTTACATTAATCACTGAAATCACTTCAGTTACTTTTTAATTAGCATTATTGGTGGGTTTCATTACTTATATTATTTGTTTATCCAGAAAACTGATCTTAATACATTTTTGGTAAAACAGAATGCATGTGAAAATTTGCTCTGCTTTGAACAGGGAGAGGAGGTGAACGCCGGCAGGATCGGCCTCACCATCGTGATCGCTGGCATGGTGGGATCTCTCATCTGTGGGATCTGGTTAGACCGATCTAAGACATACAAGTAAGAGGCTGGACTTTAATCTTGAAATGTTCTTCAGACAGCGACAGTGCTCGATAAACATTTGTCTTCGTTCCTCCTTGAAGATAAGTGTGTTTTTGATTTTTGGTTAATGGGTGTTTCTTCAACTTCAGACATATTGTCACTGGAGTTTATTGATATGTACTTTTGCTACTTTTCAAATATTAGTTTTTATGTATACACTATACTGTTCAAAGGTTTGTGGTCAGTAAGGTTTTTTAAATGTTTTTGAAAAGAGTCTCTTATGCTCACCAAAGCTGCATTTATTTGATAAAAAAAAGTAAAAAAAAAAAAACGAATATTGTGAAATATTATTGCAAATTAAAATAACTGTGTTATATTTGAATATATTTTAATATATAATTTATTCTTGTGATGCAAAGCTGAATTTTCAGCATCATTACTCCAGTCTTCAGTGTCACATGATCCTTCAGAAATCATATTAATATGCTGATTTGCTGCTCTAGAAACATTTCTCATTTTTATCAATGTTGAAAACAGTTGCTTCATATTTTTGTAAAAACTGTAATATATTTTATTTTTCAGGGTTCTATGATGAATAGAAAGTTAAAATGAACAGCATTTGTTTGAAATTGAAATCTTTTAAAACATTATAAATGTCTTTTATACTGTAATATATTTTATTTTTCAGGGTTCTATGATGAATAGAAAGTTAAAATGAACAGCATTTGTTTTAAATTGAAATCTTTTAAAACATTATAAATGTCTTTTATATAACGCATCCTTGTGAAAGTTTTTTTTTTTTTATCGTACAGACCCCAAACTTTTGAATAGTAGTGTAGATTTAATTGTTTTTCCCCTTGTCCTAAACCCAGATGTTCGGTCTTAAAAATATAAAAATCCATGTTAAAAACATTACATTTTTCAAACCAATAATCTAAACAAAAATAAAGCAATCATAAATCATTTACATTTTTATGATGTGAAAATTATTGATATATTTTGTTACACAAATTGCGATTATCCAACAGTTGTGCCATCATTTCCTCCAAAACCAAAAGGTTTTGATGAAACACCCAGATATATGTTAGATTCAGACTTAGCAGATGCTGTTTTACGAAATAAACTGAAATGTTTTTTTCTGGATCTGCATGTGTTTGCAGCTGCTGTGAATGACATGAAAAAACTCTTTTGCCCAATCATACTAGGATTTACATGTTGGATCCTGATGAAAGATTTAGCCTGTCCCATGTCTCTGTTATGTCATGTCTCCACAGACAAACGACTCTAGCCGTGTATGTGATGTCGCTTGTGGGTTTGGTGCTTTATGCTTTTACCTTGGATCTGGGTCACCTGTGGGTGGTCTTCATCACAGCAGGAACCCTCGGGTACTACAAGATTTCAAATGAAAAACATCTTTTATTTTATTCTTTCTTTGTTGTTGTTGTTGTTACAGTTTGTTTCTGTTTTGTTTTGTAATATCTGAGTTACAATAAAATCCTCTCTCTCTCTCTCTTTATATATATACTGTATATAGATATAAATAAATGTATATATAAGTTTGCCCGAGATGTTGTGTTATTTATGCAGGTTCTTCATGACGGGTTACCTTCCCCTCGGTTTTGAGTTTGCTGTTGAATTGACTTACCCAGAGTCTGAGGGGACGTCTTCAGGACTTCTGAACTGCTCAGCACAGGTTTGTGTGTGATATTTAATGATAACTGTTATTTCTAAGAGTTGTGTCTTATTTTGCATTGAGTTTTATATTATTTTAGAGCGTTTATATGGAGTTACCAGCAATCCTAATAATTGTGATTTCTTACTGCAGGTATTCGGGATTATATTTACGATCTGTCAGGGGAAAATCATGGACTCTTTTAATACTCTGGCCGGAAATCTCTTCCTGTGTGCCTTCCTGCTGATAGGAACCATCATTACAGGTGCAGATCGTTCAATACTCATTTGTTCCTCTTTAATCGAGTATTGAGCTTATATTTGAGGGATTGTGAAACTGTTGTTTTTTACTCTGGCCCTACTGTTGGTCTAGTTACTTTTGAATGTTTTGCTTCCTGGTGATGATAATGCTTCTTGGAAAGCATTGTATATTAAAATTCATTTGACGTTATGAAAGCTGCGGTGTCCTCTGATGTTTCAGTTAATGTATGAGCTATTAAACACTGAAAAAAAAACACTGGGTTGTGTAAATATAGGAAAAGCAACATTGTTTTGGGACAATGTTTTGGGTTACAGCCAGAATCCTTCTAGGTCCAAACACGGAGCCAGATGGGATTTCTGTGTCTCTTCACATTAGTTAGTTGTACATGTCAAAAGCTCCTAAAATGAAGGTCAATTTTAATCAAATGGTTAGCTGTGTTGTCAGGGCAAGCATGTTTTTCATAAATGCCAGGTCGGGGCTAGTTGGCACATGGTTATAAACTAGTATAATTTTGTATAATTACAATAATAATGTTGGCTGCAGTTATTTAAATGGTTGTTACTGGTTAATATTCAGCTAATTTTCCAGGCAATAAAAAGAGTAATTATACAGTCCTTCATATAACATTTATGCATAGAGGTGCAAAGTTTAATTACTTTAAACTTTGTTTCTCTGTTGACAACGACTTGCATCTCAAAAGTCTAATCAGATTGATCTTCCACGTTGTTATTATTATACATTTTTTATTTTGTATTATTTTAATAAGAATTATTATTATTGTTATTATTATTATTATTTTGTTCAAAGAACATCATATCCTTTTTAGGGTCAATATTTATTGCATTATTTAAATATTATAATATTTATAGCATTTTTAAGGGAGTAATATTTTATTGTAATAAAAAAAAATTTCACAGTGCATAAAAATGGAATCCATATAATAAAAAATTAAAATAAAATATTTATTTATTTAGATTTTTGAGGTGAAATATGACCTGGACATGTTCTTTGAGGGATTCATCGATTTTATATTCACAATTTAGATACTGATTAGATAGACTAGAGCGTACAGGTTGCAACAGTCATCTTAGTAGATGGTTTGGTGCATGTTAAATGTAATTATGTGTGTCTCATTGCATTTCTGTTCTTTATCTCAGCCTGTATTAAGTCTGATCTGCGCAGACAGCTGGCAAACCAACAAGCACTGGCAGCCGTAAGTATCAAACCAAACGTATCAGCAAAACATTTACACAGTTGCACTTTACAATTACACTTTATACATTATATGTGTTATATTGGTGATATAAATCAGATTAAGGTTTACATGACCTTCCCATCCAGCAATAAGTTCATATTTTGTATTTTCTGCTAGTGTGTGCCTCTTGTTTGTCAGATTGATACAACAGAAATAATTTCATGTCCACTAACATGTGCTGCAGATACTAGAGAAAATGACACTCCTGATGTTTCTATCTCATGTTTCTGTGTTGTTGTGTTTTAACCTGAACTTCAGTGTTCATTCAAAGGTGTTTTTGGTTTGATAGCTGTTGTTTCAAACGTCCACAGCATTACCATGTTCCTGCAGATTTTCGAGGGTCTTCTGACGAGGCGCTTTTGAAATTTTTATTGTGTTAACATTCCAGCACTGTGATTGGATGACACACGGGAAATGCTCTGAGAATCATACCAGCTCTATAAACACATTTCATCCTGTTCTTCACCATCAGTCATGCTCATCTTTACATGCGATGTCATGTTTTCTTGATCCAAGCATTCCATTCACTCTCTCTTTCCAATTTCCCATGATCCGGCTCTGTTTTCCCATTTGATTGTCTCTCTCCTCTCATATACACTACACTATCATTCAAACGTTTGGAGTTGGTACGATTTTATAAATGGTTTTGAAAGAAGTCTCTCCTGCTCACCAAGGCTGCATTTATTTGATCATTTCATTATTTGATTGAAATGCAATAAAAACAGTAATATTGTGAAATATTATTACAGTTTAAAATTTACTTTTTTCAATGTCACATGATCCTTCAGAAATCCTTCTCATATGCTGATTTGCTGCTTAAGAAACATATCTTATTATCAATGTTAAATACTGTTGTTTTCTTTTTACATTTATTTTAGTGTTTTTGCTTTTACACAACACACAGAGCAACGACAATTAAGAGAAGAAAAAAAAGATAATTACAATGATAAAATAAATTAAAATGTAATAACCTATGACAGAATAACAACACTGAGGGACAAATGCATATAAAGACAAATTCTAATTTAACTGGTCAGGTAATGCGTAAACAGGATACAAATTCGTAAATGTTGTAGGATGACTTAGTCCTGTGCATATATATTAAAATAAAATGACAATAATTGTACACATCGATGTTAAATACAATTGTGCTGCTTAAAAATTTTAATGGAAACCATGATAATACAGTTTTTTTAAATAGAAAGTCAAAAAACAGTGTTGATTTGAAATAGAAATCTTTTGTAACATTGTAAATGACACTTTTGATGAAATAGAAATCTTTTGTAACATTGTAAATGACACTTTTGATCAATTCTCAGTGTTCTTGGTGAATAAAAGTACTAATTTCTTTCAAAAAACTGAAAAAAAACTCATTCCTCTTTTCCACTTATCCGGTTCTTCCTTTCCATTTTTCCACTTATTCTATTCTATTTTCCACTCATTTTGAATGGGATGTTTTTAACTCAACCTCCTCCTCTGATCATCTCATTCTCTCTTCTAGTTTCCTATCTGTCCAAATCCATTCATGTTTACAGATCAGTGTGTGTGTGTGTGTGTGTGTGTGTGTGTGTGTGTGTGTGTGTCTACAGGCAGCATTGGGCAGGTCAGACGTTCAGGATCACAGTGGGACGTCTCTCCTCCCCTCCACACACATGTGATCAATCAATCACTGCCTGATTTTATTGCTCACTGTGGTTCAGGTATGGGTGGCACATGCGATCAGCCCTTCTGATTCACGATCGATGAGGCTCATTTTAATTATCGCTTATAAAGTGATTCAGATGTGCTTTTGATTCTCTCTCAGAGTCCAATGTTCATGATTTTTTGCCTACTCTGTCTGAACGCTTCACCCTTGAGCTTTGTACGTGTGTGTGTGTGTGTGTGTGTGTGTGTATTGTAGTTTGATGTTCCATGTGTACTAACATTTAACCTTCATTTAATCCACTAACATACTAACTGGAGATGTGTGCATGAAACTGGTTTGTGGCCAACAGGGGGCGCCGTTTTACTGTGATATCTGTTACTGATGATGTGTTTTGTGTTTGCAGGGCCCTGTGGAAGCGTCACCGGCACAAGCTTTTGAAGCCAAACTCTAATGTGATCACGCGACTGATCAATTAGTACAATTATCTTTTATAGTTTTTTATCCTGCCTTGAACTTTTATACATTTTTCCTTTGGGACTTTTGAATCACGCTGTATTGTGTGTGTGTGTGTGTGTGTTTGTGTGTGTGTGTGTGTGTGTGTGTGTTCATTTGAACTGTATTGAGTGTTTATATCAGCCAGGGACTGATCAGGTGTTTGTTTGTTTTGTTGGTATTGTGTGATCATTTGTTTACTTGATCACTAATCATCTCAAGTAGGAGACATTCAAATTTTTTAACTAGTTTATCAAATGATGATTTAAATTATTGTTAACATTTAAAATTTCTTATATCTTCAAACAATGTCTTATTGTAAGTTTGAAAAAAAAATCTACAATGAAACCCATAAGAATGTGGAGCATTTCAGTATTGTTTGAACTTAAGAATTGAAACCGAAGCTCAACACAGTTAAATATACTGTGTTGGTTTCAATCTGTGCAATAAGTACTGAATAACTGTTTCTTTATTTTTATATAGTTGTTTCGTTTTTTTTTACCCTAATTGAAGCTCTCTAAAGACCATCTGAATAAATTGTAATAAATAAAACAAATCTAACATCTAAAGCACATTACTGTTATATTATTTTATTTTTAAAATATTCAAAAAAGTTTTGTAAAATGTTTTTAGTATAATTAATATCTGCCTATTGTACCCGACACTGAATAATACAGTGCTATGGTTTTCAGTAACACCCTTATTTTTCTTCTTCTTCTTCTTATTATTATTATTACAATTAATAGTAATCATAAATTGTATTATTTTAAAATGAATTATATTTATATAGTTCTATATTTTCATGAAATGATATATACAATTATAATAGAATATAATTAAATAAAAAAATTATAATGTAATAAAATATATTACAATGCAAATATAATTGAATATTAACTGTTATATAATTATTGTAGAATTATATATTAAATTATATTTAATAAAATATTAATATTATATATTATCATTATATAATAATTATTATTACCATAAATAGTAATCATAGTTAATTATTTTAAATTATATTTTACATGTATAATTTTAAAATAACTACAATGAACTATAATTTTATAATAATTAACTATAATTACTATTTATGGTAATCATAATTAAGAGCAATCCCATTCATAGTAATCATACATTTTATTATTTTAAAATGATATATTTTAATAATATATGTATATAATCTCTCAGATTGAAAAATAATCACAAATAGAGCTCAAATGAGTATCCATAAATATTTTAATGCGGTGAACATTGCAGAAAAAGTGTCAGCATTTATGATATACGTAAAAAATACATCTTATTTCACAATTTTATAACAGCATTTAATATATTTATCAAACTGTATAATAATTTTAAGTAGCAAAATTAAAAAACAACCAGCAGTAACGTCCCGTGCACATTCCAAACAAAGTAAAAACAGCTCGACAGTTTTACTTCTTTGACGACTTTCTGAGACAAGTGCATTTGAAAGGGCATTTCAGATGAATGAGGCAGCAGCAGCCTGTTCCTGCAAATCATCACTTCAGATTCTCTTTGACAGTCTGTTTGAGCTCCCTGTTGTTTAGCTGGAGGTATTTATTCACCCGGCTGCGATACGTGTTCGTTTATGATCTATAATCCACATGTTTGGGTGCTGTGACTGAAGCCCAAACCTTCATTGTTGGCCTGCTGTTCTAAGGCACCTTCAGCTGTTTGATTGTCTGCAAGTGTCATCGTTACCAATACACAAGCATTTGAGGCACACCTGTCAGAAGAACAACAGGACAAGAACACATCACAGCACTGGAACATCACCTTCGTGGAAAGTCTTGAGGAAATGGTCTAAAATCGTAATAATTGCAAAGGAATGAGATGTGGACTCTGACAGTCTGTATTATATTCACACCGTCTTCATGGTCTCTAACACTATACTGACGACCAGTGTTGGGGGTAACTCATTACAAGTAACGCGAGTTACGTAATCAGATTACTTTTTTCAAGTAACTAGTAAAGTAACACATTACTTTTTAATTTACAAGAGAATATCTGAGTTACTTTTTCAAATAAGTAATGCAAGTTATTATTTTTTTTCCAATTTATTGATTGACAGCTTTCCTGTCCCCATGTTGAGAGAAATCAGAAGATGTTACTGTAGTTCTAAAATAAATATGAATATGCATTAATTCATCTCACTCACAAAAAAAAACACGCAAACCTGCAATAATTAAATGTTAAACAACACAAATATCCTTTATGTATTTAATCCCATTCTATTAAGCAATGTCTTTGCTTCTGACCTTCGATGATCCAGTTCAACCATAATAATAAGCAAAAAGTGTTGAAATTTCTTCTTCTGCATTCTAATGTACAGACGTAAATGTACTTTCCCTTCAGCCTGAGACTTGTTCATTTCACTTTTGGTGTGCAAAGGCTTTTATATTTGCCACAAATATAACTTTTTTATTTTAAAAACAAACAAGCAAGTCCTGTCCAGATTTAAAAAGTAATGCAAAAGTAACGTAACGCATTACTTTCCATAAAAAGTAACGAAGTAACGTACTTCGTTACTTTTGTATGGAGTAACGCAATATTGTAATACATTACTTTTAAAAGTAACTTTCCCCAACACTGCTGACGACATTATGTGTATTAAACTATCGATAATGCATAAGCAAACCATGTAAAATTGTAAACCGCAAAAGTACAGGCACCTCAGTAGATTGTACCACAAAAAAAGCATGGAACGATATCTATTTTCGATAAATTAAATTATTAATCTGATATTTATATTAAATTCACTTATACAATATGAGTTTACAAATATATATGTGGAAAATAAATTACCCCGCTTTATCGCATATCTATACAAACTTAAATATTCATATCAGAATCGCCAGATCATTAGCCAGTCACGTGATGCGATCTGGCCGCCTCATTGGACGAGTTCATTATCGTCCTCATTCTTAAAGGGACAGTTCACGTTAAAAATGTGAATTCTGCCATCGTTTACAAACTTGGACAGACGCCATTTATAATTTGATGCAGCTGAAAACGAGTCTGAGGAATGGACAGTTTTTAGATAGCATGTACTGTATAAAATGTCCTAAATCAAATTGCAATGTTTGTATTTGTTTCGTTACTACTTTTATATCCCTCACTGCTTCGTTTTCATTCCCGCCAAAATTAAACATGGCGCTACCCTAACGAAAACCATAAACTTTTTTGCATGGAAGAAAGAAAATAACACATGAATATTCGGAATGACATGAGGGTGAGTAACAGATTACATAATATTAATTTCTGTGCGAACTGACCCTTTAATTAAAGCATATTTACGCTATGCAGAGGACACTTTCCCTCTTAAGACATTTACAGTAATAAAAACCTCTGTATAATAACTACTGATTGACATATATATACCAACACAACTCTTACTAGAACTTTAATAGGTTCTTATGTGGTGACTTGTAGATTAGATTAGATATTATTGATTGCATTTATCGCTTGAGTTGTACTGTAAAATATGATTTGGTGTATTGCTCTTTGAGCACATTTTGAATGTCACCAATTACTGAAGAGATGCTTTAAACACTGATATCTCAAGTAATACTTCAGTGCTGAGAGAAATCATGTCATTATGTAAATGTATGACAGCAGAACAGTAGAATCCATTAAGGCAAACTAATATTTCAGAAGGGTAAAATTGTTGTAAATAATTTTATGGTACATTCTCCCTTAATAAGAAAAAATGACCCTTTTAAAATCACAAAATTCATATTTGACAACGTGTTCTCAGAAATGGCTCATTATTGTTATACAGGTATTAAAACCTGATGTTCAAGTTGTTTTTCTGCATTTGAACAAAGCTGTTTCAGTTCTGTGTCGGTCCTCTATGATGTCACATCCGTTCTGTCTTTCAACTCTGTCCAAATAACACTGTTAACAGCAGTGAATGAAGCATAAACCGTGATACACCAGCAGAGAAAGATGAAGAGGCTGTTCTGGGATGCGTCGGGAGTTCAGTAGGTGTATTGAAGTCAGCACAAATGCTCAAATGCTGTTGACCTTGAGTATTCTCACAGCTTGTTGCCTATTAAAGCAGTTCTTTCATTTTCTAAGGGTTTTATTAAGGCGCTGAGATCCGCTCATATGTGAACGTGTTGGGGAAACATAAGGCAGAATATTAATATCTTCATATTGATATGCAACCTGCAGAAAATTTCCTCAAACGCTCCATTTTTAGAATGGCTTCTTCAGAAAAAGGAGGGAAGTCTCCGACCAGCGGCAACCTTCTTTTTGAGCCATGTCAATCCAGATCTGCGCATCTTACAGTGCTGTGTAAAACTCATTTGGGTCCTGAACTGGTGCGCCGTGGCCTCTCATCTCTGGGCTCTTGCATTTTGGGGTCTTTCTTGAGGAAAAAGGAAGTTATAGAGTGTCGTCACTAGCTGGAACAAACCCATCTGGCCCCTTTGAGTGAACTGCACAAAAATAAACCAAAAATATTTGTTCATCAGGTAAAATTTTTGACATAGGTTAAAAAGATTGCATTTTATTAGTCAAGAGAGGTACTTGCACAGTAAGACCAGGAGCATCTATCAAGAAAGTAAATAGGGTCAAAATGGCATATATCTGCCATTAGATGGCGCTCTGGCCTCAAGCTTCACTTCAAACTCCTCCCCTTCCCTTTAAATCTCCCTGATGGACAGTTAAAGCGGCCAATCAGCAGTCAGGCCAGCTGTGTGGCGAGCGTGTGTTGTAGTTCTTGACTATTGCAGTGTATTGCATAAGCTGCCTCTCTTACTGAAGGCATGCTAGATTTAAAAGAGTTATCAAACTGTAATTATGATTAACTAATTCAAATTATTCTGACCCATTTATTCTTAGTTGGATTGTCATCTTTCAACTTTTTCAATTATTCAGCCAGTTTGATCTGTGAGAAGATGAAGTTTCAGTTTTTGATCTTATGACAGCTGATTTCCACATTCCACAGTCAATAAAATCTACAATCTGCATGTTCATTAAAACATCTCAGTTGTAGCGGCTCAGCATATAACACATACAGAGTGTAACTAAAGGTGTTACATTAGCCTACTTTTGAGATTGTGGTCACATGTCTGCTGACGTGGACCTTGAGTCAGAGTCTAAATTTAGCCTGCAGTATAAACTCACTTCACATCCTCTTTCTGAGATCACACACAAACTATAGCCAGCCAGGGTAGACACTAAATTCAACTGGCATTTATTGAAAACCTTGATAAATCTACATTTATCCCTGTTTTCTTCTCTCATAGTAAATGTTATAAGTCGCTTTGAATAAAATAATTAATAAATGCAAATGGAAAAACATGGAAAATGTTTACCTCTAGCAAAACCATTTTGCCTTCATCTGCTGTTTTTTTTTCATCTAGTTTTTAACTACAACAAAAACACAATATAACTCCTTCAATGGCCAAATTTACATGATAAAATGGCACTTTTCAAAATTATTCTAATCTCCCATATCATTATTTTAGTAAGCCCCACCCCCAAAAAATCCTTGAAACCAAATTTAATTAAACTTAATTAAAACCAAATAATTATGTTTTCAATAGTTATGCAAACTTTAGTTTTGTAAATAGTTATAAAAGTATAAAAAAAAGTTAGACGACTTTGTTTAATATATGAGGTTGCTAAATAAACATCATCTAGTGTTTAAACTCCGTCAGTTACTGTAAAGTTATTGATGTACATTTGATAACATCTAAGGGAAGTTGAGTAAACAGGACGGGTAAACCAAAAATGATGTCATCTCTCCCACTGAGTATTTGCATATGCAGCATTGAAATAACAGACGATGATGTCATTGCACATCGTGACAGAAACCACTGCAGTGAAAACCACAGACTCTGTGCACAAACACCTGTGAAGCTGTTTAACACGTTTGATTCACATCGGCCTTGAGGAAAAGAAACTAGTCCCATCTGAAATCACTCTTACCAGCTGAAGATGTTCCTGCTGAAACTGATCCCCCATTTCGCGCAGTTTACGTCCAATCTGAATCTCCACGCTAATTCCCACGTCACGTTCGTCTTCCTTTTCTTCTGGTGTCCCTCCGTCCTCTTCTGCGTTTTGTGTGCCATCCGGGACGGGTTCGAACAATGCGGGGAAGTGTGAACGAAATACAGCATTTCCTTTAGGATAAAAACAATATTTATATTATTATATTGCATAATAAGAATTATTATTATTCATATATTTTATTATATAATTAAATTATTAAATAAAAATTAATTATTATCAATTAATTTTTATTTAATAATTTAATAATATAATATATAATAAAATATATGAATAATAATAATTTTAACAATACTAAATATAGTTTCAATTTTTAACTGTAGTTTCAATACAAATGTAACAACATTTTTTATTAAAATACCACTATGTGTGTATATATATATATATATATATATATATGTGTGTGTGTGTGTGTGTGTGTGTGTCACAATTTGTATTTTTACATTCATATTTTATATTTATGTATTTTATATAATATTTTATATAAGACATATCATATTCAGAAATAAAAAATTAATTCCAGGTGTGCATGTTGTGATTCATAATGCACATTTGACTATATGATGCATATTGTGTTTCCCTACCATGAAAAAGTGCTCTTGGCCCTTCTGGGGCCCCAGGGGCCATAGTAAGTGACACGAGGCCCCCAGTTCCACAGTTAGCCCCAAATGCAGTCCTGGGATCCACAGCTCCGCAGGGAGATGATGCATCTCTCTCTAAACCCTGGAATGGTGCCATATCTCCATCTCTCGCTGAATTCAGCACAGTTCTGGCAGTCTGCGTCGATCTGTCTTCAAAGCGTCCGTGTCTGTTAGCCGTTTGTCCCACCTCTCCTCGTGGGCCGTCTCTGTTCTCTGAGCTCTTGTTTCTTAGCGGTGTTTCACAGCAGTGAGGAAGCTGTTCGTCTTCCTCATCATCCATCGGCGGAGTCAGCAAAACCGCCCTGAAATATACCACAGACTGTCACTTTGTGCAACTATATGAGAATTCACATGCTGTTCAATCGTTCTGTATTACATGACAAAAAAAATACAAAAAACTATTCTTTCTAATGGAGTTGTTTTGCTTCAGGACATGAAGTTTTGTTTTTTGAAAAGTTGATAAGTTTATTTATTTTTCAACCCCAAATTATGCACAATTATATGATTGGTATGGCATTCAGCATGATTTTTCATTGTTCTCCAGTCCACCACTCTCCAGTTCACATCAGTGTAGTTTAGGAACACTTGACCTGATGCAAGTGCTGAATCTCACAGAGATCTCACCCACATTCACATGAACAAACAACCATGACTGAACTAGATGGGTTTTGTTTGGTTTAACAATGAATAACTAAGATCTGACAGTAGATCAGCTCATAAAGTGCAACTTCTGGCATGAAAGTGCAGCGGTGAGATGACTAAGATAGCTACAGGCTAGTCACAAACAAAACCACCGTAACGTCAAATGGCAACATTTCAAAGGAGTCTCATACTCCTGAGAGAGGAAATGAGAGGAAGTTTCAGGCCTGTGCTCAAATGTTCTGTCTGCCGCCGTTTCCCAGAAAACAATACGATTCGAATCTGCACCATCATAACAAACATATCCGTTTATGAAGTGTTCATGAATAATCTGATCAACTGAGAGTTACAGTGCAGATTAGTACAGATGCTTTCAAAGAGAATAGTTTCATATTGTACATGGCAGCTGCAGTGAAATTAGTCAAACTGAGAAACTGCAAGAAGAGTTTTGAGACGTTTTTTTGCAGAATTTGTTTGCAGTGCATGAATGCTGTAGTCATCAGGACAAATAATCATTTAAAAGGTGTAATTCTATTAATAGAGGGATTATCATATGGACAGATGATTATTAATAAGAATTAAACTCTTAATCCCTGCTGAAAAACCAGCCCAAGATGGTTTGCTGGTCTTAGCTGGTCTCCCAGCTTGGTTACCCTGGTCTGTGGGCTGGTTTTAGGGGGTTTTCTTCCAAGGGGCAAACAGTATACCAGCTTGTCCAGGCTGAAAGACCACTGTAGACCATCATAAACCACTCTTATTATTTAACAAACCATGTTAGGCGGTTTAAGTTGTTATTTTCAGCAAGGAATTCAAAAACAATAACAAAGGATATACCACTAGGTAAAATTTACCATAGTAAAAAAAAAACAAATGCATAAAAAATCAGGACAGCATGAGACTTCATGTGATTGTCACTTTTTGATATTTCAGTTTTATAAAGTTCAGATGGGCAAATCAGAATGTGATGTTGGGGATATTTCAGTGTGTTATGAAGTTTACTCTGTAATTTAAAACTTTTGTCACTTTCTTTCACAGATCAAATCACTGGAACGTTGTTTTTCAAGGACAAAAGCAGAATCGTTTCAGTTCTTATTTTTATATAGTATTCCACAGAAATCACAGAATACACAATGAAACTGCAGCAAATAAAACACAGAAACAACAGACACTCACCGCCAGTGCTTGAATGTGTGTGTCAGTGCTGCTTTTATTCCGCTTTTTGTGTCAGCGCTCTTTTATTCCGTCTTCAGTCTGCTTGTATTTATTTACTAACACGGACTCGCTCCGCTTTCATTCTGCGCCCTGCGCTCGAGATGTTGGTATTGGACACGAGCGCGCAGAAAACCACGCCCCCTGGCGGCACGTGATATGGTAATTACTCGAGCGGGAGGCGGGAATCTGCGTGTTGTTGGTGCCCGAGGGAAGAGGTCAGTTACTCTAAGGTTTATGTGTTGAAACGGTAAGTTTCTTTCTGAATACAAGCGGTGTATTTCAGCAGTTTTAATAGGTTCAGACTGTTAGTTAGTGGCTACGTTATTTAAAAGAACCGTTTTAATGCCACTTTGACTTTGGATTTGTTGAAAAACTTTAAAAAGTTCTTTAAACGATTCGAAATGAGTGAAAAACACGCTTCCGTTGACAGCCTTTAATTAGCTAAAGTATGTATTTCTGACTGAACGTTTTCCAACACGTTTGTGCCGTTATTCGTTTTTAGGCTATGTGTTTTACAACTGAGATTTTCGAAAGACTTGTAACTTTAGATCTTTCGATTTATATTAAGTCACTACATGATATGGATATTCCTGGAACTTGGATGCAAGATGGCAGCCTCTAGCTTGCGTACTTCTGGAAGCCTTATAAACTATTTAAAAGTTACATCTAATATTTATCTATGTATATCTAATACACTAGTCAACATTTGAAGTGGATCAAAACCTTTCATCAAAGTGAAATTTATTATTCATAAAACCAAATGGCTTAGGACAACTTTGATGAACTTTTTTGATCCACTTCAAATTTTGACTACTGTATATAGGCTATATATATATATAGTTTGAATGTAGCCTACAATTACTAATCATGCAATAATGGTGGTAATGGAAGTTATGAACTGAATTGTGTCATTTAGATTTAAATTACGTCAAAAAACATTCTGATGTTAATAATAATAATAAGAGGGGGCTATTTAATTATTAGTTTTAAACTCTATTAATTGCTTATCATATGCTTAACAGATCAATAGTTGATGTATTGATGCATATATCTGAAAATATCTAATGTTTAATGAAGCTTCTAATGGTTTGAAAGTACTTTAATGCTCTTTTCAAACACACACACACACACACACACACACATATATATATATATATATATATATATACTGTATGTGTATATATATATATATACTGTATGTATATATATATATATATATATATATAACAAGAGAGAGAGTAAATCTAAATATATTCACCTTTTGTTTTTACGGAAGAAAGAAAGAAAAATACATATGGGTTTTGTACAGTATATGCAATTTTTTGTGCACTATTATAATTAAACACCCCTAGCCACTAGCCCACCAGGGGTGAACATTTTCTGAATATGAGGAATATTTGTCTTCAAATTTAATAGAATTTTGTAGTCCATGCAAATCTTTAATATCCACAGGAGACCTTGTTGTTTATTTTTCTGTTTTGTAATGGACAAACACACTGACCTTGACATCTGTCAACCTGACATGTTTTTCTTTTTACTAGGGTTAACATTTTTAAAGTTGATTGGACAGAGGAATATATGTGGCTACTATGATCAATTTTTCACATTTTTGTGTATGCATATTTTCTGATTGAGGCACAATTCAAGTGCACTTGTTGTAAATGGGCAGTGAGTCACCTGAATATCACAAGCTTCCTGTTCTCACTAGCTTGCGATGACATCATCTTTTCTGTCAGCCACTGGGCTCAGCATTCCTGCCCACTGTTGCCACGCTGCTCAACCGCGAGGTTGCAATGGCCAATTTAAATGTGAAAAATTGTGCTAGTTAACTCTAAAACAGAATGTGTTGATTGACATGTAAAGGAAGAATAGTTTTTGTTTTGTAATAGATTATTTCAAGCCTGCATATTAACTAGTCAGTACAGGCCTACACATTGCTGGCAAGGATTTCGGTTTGCTAAAATGTTGGGATGGTTTGAGTTGAGGATGAGGTACAGACAAATCACCGACTAGAGGAAGAGGATTGAAATAGACTCAAAGTGACTCTGTTTCTACGGTAACTGTGGATGGGGAGGTACCAAAGATGAGAGCGAGGCAAAACAAATGCTGGCGCTGCCTCCGTGGCAACAGCTACATCATTGGTTCTTGTTTCATAGTAAAGACCCGTTAAAAAAAAAAAAATCACAAGAGGACCAGGAGACACCTCCCTCACAACTGCATGTTGCATCAGAAAGATCCTACAAGAGGAAGAGCAAAACACACACGCACACAAACACATCACATGCTCCACTTCACTCTACAGCCCCCTCCTTCCTCCCAGCTCTCCCGCCAAAACATCTCAGAGAGTAAATCCTGCCTAGAAACCAAACAGCTGACTTCGGCCTCGCTGCGATTGGTGCAGCTCCCTAGCAACGGCGTGTGTTTATTCAGCCAATCAGGTGCTGAATTCTCAGCACTTTCAACCAATGGCAGGCGGCCCCAGATTACCCAGGCAGTAACAGTGACTTGGTAACTGTCCGGCAGAACAGAAAGCAACTGTGATTGGTCAGATCAGCGTCCTGATTGGCTGCTCATGACGATCTCCCAGTCATTCATATGTTTTTGCGGATGCCCTGAAGGGATACACCCACAGCAGAAGGTCAAATTCTCTTCATCTTGATTGGCCGAGCAACAACGTGGACTCCTAGTAACAAACCACAACTGCTAAAACAGGGTGGTTAGGCTTCCGTCAGTCATCCAAATGCTAGCCAAACATGATGTTGTTGCTGCAGTTCTGCTCTTAGTAAAAAGTATTTTGTATGACAAACAGGCCTTCGTTGACACACTTTTTGCACTTGTAATATCTGGGAGTAAAATGACTGTTGCGATATCACAGTACATGATTTCTTAATGCTTGTTCACAAGTTTTTTCTATTCCTGTGACACTATTTTCTGAGATTCACTGCTAATATCTGTGCAGCTCCTGATCAGTCTTACAAATTTACCGTACATTAGGGTTTCGTTAGATTGGTTGTTTACATTTACAGGATAAACTTTAGAAGTGAAGATGTTACTTTTTTTAATTTTAGCATTTACAATGTCATATTTGAGGTCTAGCTGGTCATTTTTTTCCCCCAAAAGTGTTTACTTGTCATTCTGTTGTGTTTAAACTTTAGATGCGTGTTGAGCGGTGCGTGATTCACCTAGCAAGAAGAATGAGTCCCCAGACGAGCAGCAGCAGCTCAATGAACACAACCGAAGACGAATCAGAAGTGACATCATGGCTGTAAGATTGCATGACATCATGCTTGAGGGAAGACAGATCAATATGTCGAATCTGAAGCTGAAGGAACTGGCAAAGAAATGATTGGTCTCATTAATGATCTAATGATCTAGATAAATATAATCAGTTTAATAAGTAGATTAAGTCTTTTTTTAAAGTTAATTGGATTACTTTTAGATTATAAGCAACAATGGCAATAATATAAGGCTTATGTCTACAGATATTAAGTCAAATCTTTCATTTATATGGAAGCTACTGTAAGAAAATCTCTGGCCTTTTTGCTCTTTACCACAGTATTAATAAAGATTTCTGTTTAGATGTGTAGGATGCCTGTAAAAGACATCCACCACATACATTACTTGAAGCAAACGTAAACTAAAAAATTGGTAATTGAAAATCAAGCAGATGTAACATATAAAAATTAGGTGAAAAACTATAAAAAAAATAAAAACTTGAAAAAATATATATATTGTCCTGGCAACAAAATAAAATAAATAAATTTAGTACTTAATAAATTTAAGTTGAAAACTAAAGTTAACTGAAGTATAAAGTAAAGCTATGTATAAACTTAATATGAATAATATAATAATACTAATTCCGGTTATCAATGTAGAATATTACATTTATGTTCTTTAATCATATTCAGAAAAGGTTTTAGCTGACTGATTGTAAGCACTGTTTTAACTGTTTACTAGACTAGGAAATACACGTCACTACATATGTGACAAATTTTGACATCACCATAAAGTCTATTTTTACTTTACATATACTTTCCTTCATTATTATGAGGTCTATACTGTTGAAAATGCTGTGCACCCACGCTCCACACCACTTTTACAATTGAAAAGTCAGAAGGAACAAAGAAATGATCCATCTCAATTATCTGGATAATTACAATCAGTTTAATCATTTTTTCAAGCTAATTGGATTACTTTCCAAAGCATTAAAGGGTTAGTCATATATGCCTAGGATGGCTTGAGGGTGAGTAAATAATGGGCTAATTTTAATTTTTGGGTGAACTATCCGTTTAATACAGCAGGCTGCTTTAAACTCTTTTAACTATAAACAACAATGACAATAACCTGAGGCTTGTGCCTATATTTACTCAGATCTTCAATATATATAAGGAGGAATATTATAAGAAATATAATATATAAGGAAACTGCAAAAAGTCAAAAAAGATGTGTTAAATGCAGCTTTAATTACCACAACTACAGAAACTCTTACTGGTATTTGCAAACATTCAGTAGTTAAATTAGCTCAAGTATTTCATAAACGAAGCTTCTGTAAACGAAACCTATATGAGATGTGTGTGTGTGTGTGTGTGTGTGTGTGTGTGTGTATATCATACTGGAAATCCCAGAGATGATGTCAATAACAGCAGCTCCAGATCAAAGGAAACTGCTCCATCCTCAGCTGGAGCCTGAAGGGAAGATGGTGACAGGTGATGTCAGCAAACTGCAGCCTGGCATCCAATAGGGTCCCCCGGGATCTCTTGTGTTGAGCCACCTGCATGTGTGACTTCAGTCTGTGTGCATTGAATTTATTTAATACACGAGTTTCACAATTTGAGTTGAATTACTGAAATAAATTAACTTTTCCCACGACATTCTAATTTATTGAGATGCACCTGTAAGTTCATTGAAAAAACAGATGTCCCACCACCTTATTACCACAAACTCGACTGAGCTCTAAAAATAGAAGAGAAAGCAGCACACATTCCTGAGGTGTGAAGTATGAGATAAGCAGTTTTGTTGTAGGCTGTCATACAGTAGGTGTCCCTACAAATGTCAAACCACAATTTAAGTGTATCCTCTAATGACTCTGAA